GAGAGTGGAGCTGCTGGTGGAGTTTGGTGGAGATGTCAACATAAGTGATAACTTGGGTCACAAACCTAGAGACTATACAAAACCAGAATCTCCTGCCACTCTCTGTCTGCGGCACTATGAGAGTGTGTTACAGTCTGCATTGGTGCTATACAGTATATGTCTCAGAGTATTTAATCTGCTGTTCTGTGTTTCTGCAGGTAATCCTCTGTCTCTGCAGCAGTTGTGCCGTATCGTCCTGAGGACTGTGTTGGGCACCAGAGCTTTGGAACTGATCCCTAAACTGGACATTTCACAGCGCATCATTGATTACCTCATTTATAAATCACAAATGTATAAAAAAGTTCCCTAGAGACATATTTGATTTCGAAAGCTATAATGGACTGCAGTTTGTTAAGTCTTAAGTTTGTGAGTAATTTAATTTAATTATTTATAAATAACCCTATGAGTTTATAACCCTATGGAACCTGTTTACTTAAAGCTGCAGTCCGTAACTTTTTTTTGGTTAAAAATGATCCGAAATCAATATTTGAGCAAATACATAACCAGCCAGTGTTCAAAACTATCGCCTTACTTTAGCCCGATTCACAACGGTAATCTTATAATTAAGTTTTCTAATTTGAGTGGTACAGGTAGGTTTTCATAAACATAAAGAAGTTGTCCCGGCTACTAGGCTATCGCATGTGAGGATCCTGCAGGTGGCGGATCGTATAAAGCCTTTTTTTTAAAGCCTAAAATAATTAAATTGATCATTTTGATGGCGGATTGTAATCCAGAAAAGACAATGTGTTTATGAAACACATGTGAATGAAATTAAATTATATTCCAGTTTTAAATGTGCTTCTGATTACAGATAACCTGGGATTACACAAGATTTGTATTTTAAAAACAACCAGTTCGAAGGGAGCATAATTTGCTTTTTGGGTTAAAAGAATTTCTTAATATGAAATTCGATTGCTATGACAATTAGAGATTAGACTGTTTTAGAAAATCTAGAAGTCTACTCGCTTATATACACAATATTAACATAGTCACGTAATGCTGATGTTGTTAACATTAACAATTTGAGAAGAAAGTATAACAATAATAATAATTTGCACGGTTTGATGTGATATGAGCTAATTTAGATTAAATCACCATTGGTAGCACGATTTATTGTAATGCTTTTTTCCTCAGTTGGTCAGAACAAATGTGACAGACTTGTTACTTACTTGTTCAGATGACAATATACGGTGAAAATTCTTATTTGGGTCATATATTCCAAGACGTAGGCTAGAATCTGCGATTCCTGAGTACAATATCTACACCGGTGCGGTGACTGACTGCCACACATACTACTCAAAACATTAGATCAATCCGCACTGGAGCCGTGTCGGCTCACAACACATGCAAGGAAGATAATTCCACAAACAGTTGCAATTGCAGGTTTTCAAACAGAGATGGCGACAAAGGGGCAAAACTTACGGACTGCAGCTTTAAGTGGAGTTGTGATGACTTGGTTTCAATGAATGTGCTACATTGCCTTGAAAGATTTTGCAGTGTAAATGTACAAATAATAGAACTGTTTGTTACTGTTGCCCCTGTACAACTCAAGATCAGTTTAACTTTTAAATCAGTTTTTTTTTTTAAACCAGCTGTGAACATGTTAATGTTTGATGACTAGAAGGTGTCCAAATACCTTTTATATTAAAGGTATTGTTTTATAAGTTAAACTTATCTCTTTTTTTTTTTTGCTCAAAAAGTGTTTGTGATATACTTTATTAAAATAAATGCCATTGATTTTCAACCAGGAGGTCCTGAAGGCACTTTAGGGGGTCCGTCGAGATATATTAAACAAATAGCACTTAACTTTTCATGATACGTTTACCTAATTAACTTATAAAAATGTCTGTCTATTAACCATTATGTATTGCTCATGTTCTTAATTAAAGTTATTGTAATGTGTTATCTGGTGTGCCATATGTCCCGAGTCTTAAAGTTTAAAAATACACTCACATTTCTACATATGTGTCCAAATGTATCCAGTCCTTTATTTTATTTTATTTAAGTAAACTACATCTCACAGCACGCCATAAACTAAAATTAGTACCATGACAATATATAATCCATTAATAATACAGTAGAAATGATCTGTTGTGACTTGTGGTTATGGTTTTATTGATGTAATTTTTGGGTGTATAAGGTTTCTGGGCAGAGAGGACAGGTTCATAAGGCTGTGTATCAGGGTCAAGTGTCAGTGCTGCAGAGTTTGATATCACTCCCCTCCAAGAGGCAGCTGCCCGCGGACAGAGGCAGTGTGTGAGACTCCTGCTGGACGCAGGGGCTCAGGAGCCAGTCACACACATACAGTTCTTAAAAAGGCCTATTAAAAAGTCTATTCTAAGTACTGACTTTGGCTTTGAAATGGGGTTTTCTGGGGTTGTGTTGCAGGTTGATGCAAGGAATGTGTACGGCAGCACTCTACTATGAAGCGTGCTCTGTCGGGAACTTTTGAGTGTGTGAGGCTTCTTTTGGAGTATGGAGCAAAAGTCAACCCCATCCTTTCCTCAGGTACCACCTCCCCTCTGCATGAAGCCTGCGTGGGAGGTGTGCTGGTTTGGTGTAAATTGTAGAAGTGTATTTTATTTATTTATTATTTACATTTTATTTTTTTAAATGTATAAAAAAATGTAATATTAGGTCTCATTGACTTCTTGTGTTTTTTGTAGTATTACAGAATCTGAGGTAATTTTATAAATTCATAGAATATGAATTATTTTGATGATTTTGATGGCTATTTTATTTTTAAAATGAATGAAATTTTAAATGTAATTATTAAACTATTTTCAAAAATCATTTTAGATTGTGTTTTTTACATAAATATAATGTCTGTAGTATTGCAGAATCTGTAAGGTCATTTTACAAATTCATAGATTATGAATTGTTTTGATGAGTTGGTTATGTTGGTGGTGGTCCATTTTATTTTATAAATATAATTATTATACAGTGTTCCAAAATAATTTATATCGTTTTTTTTTATTATTTTTTTTACATTTTTATGTATATTTATGTATATGATACTGTTTTTGTAGTATTACAGAATCTGTAATTCTTATAAATTCACAGAGTATTACTTTGATTATTTATGTGATTCATAGAGTATGCTTTATTTTGAATATTATTTTGTTCTGTTTGCTTTTTAAATTTTATTTTAATTAAAAAAGTATTATCAAAAGTACAAAAATAATTTTGATTGTTTTATTGACTTTTTCTCATTTCTGTAGTTTTACAGAATATATAAGATAATTTTATACATTCATAGAGAAATAATTATTTTCATGAACTAAAGGTTTTGAGTGAAATAGTTGTCTACCCTTCATATAATGTGAGAGTAATCTGTGTTATGCAGGTAATGTTATTGATTGCTAAAGAGCCAGTTTGGAGGCCTATGACCTGTACTACGGTACTCCTCTACGTGTGGCATGTGCCAGCCGACACCTGGAGTGTGTTAAAGTGCTACTGAATGCAGGTAAAACCAGATGCCATGAGCCGTGAGACAGTAAAGTTCTCTGTCAGCCATGCGAACATTGAAGAATGTGCCTCTAAAGAAGGTAGTTTAGATCTGAAATCACCAAAGTAAAGCTTTAATCGTAAATCATTGTGTGCAGGTGTGCAAGTAGACGCCACGAGGCTATACGAGACACCCTTAGATCATGCTGCCAAGTCCAACAATGTGGATATGATTGAGCTGCTGGTGGAGTTTGGGGCCAACATTTACGCCTGTGGCAAGTATGACAGGAAGCCAGTTGACTAATCTGTCTAAAACAACTAGACAGTCTGAATGTACAGGATTCAAAATGTAAAAATGTATTTTAAATCTGGAAATACACTGAAAGTTTAAAAATGTTCAAAATTTCAGTTTTGATGTAAAATGAAAATTAAATGTTTAATATTCTGCAATATTTTGGTACATAACCAGCCAGTGTTCAAAACTATCGCCTTATTTTAGCCCGATTCACAACAGTTAGCTTATAATAAAGTTTTCTAATTTGAGTGGTACAGGTAGGTTTTCATAAACATAAAGAAGTTGTCCCGGCTACTAGGCTATCGCATGTGAGGATCCTGCAGGTGGCGGATCGTATAAAGCCTTTTTTTTAAAGCCTAAAATAATTAAATTGATCATTTTGATGGCGGATTGTAATCCAGAAAAGACAATGTGTTTATGAAACACATGTGAATGAAATTAAATTATATTCCAGTTTTAAATGTGCTTCTGATTACAGATAACCTGGGATTACACAAGATTTGTATTTTAAAAACAACCAGTTCGAAGGGAGCATAATTTGCTTTTTGGGTTAAAAGAATTTCTTAATATGAAATTCGATTGCTATGACAATTAGAGATTAGACTGTTTTAGAAAATCTAGAAGTCTACTCGCTTATATACACAATATTAACATAGTCACGTAATGCTGATGTTGTTAACATTAACAATTTGAGAAGAAAGTATAACAATAATAATAATTTGCACGGTTTGATGTGATATGAGCTAATTTAGATTAAATCACCATTGGTAGCACGATTTATTGTAATGCTTTTTTCCTCAGTTGGTCAGAACAAATGTGACAGACTTGTTACTTACTTGTTCAGATGACAATATACGGTGAAAATTCTTATTTGGGTCATATATTCCAAGACGTAGGCTAGAATCTGCGATTCCTGAGTACAATATCTACACCGGTGCGGTGACTGACTGCCACACATACTACTCAAAACATTAGATCAATCCGCACTGGAGCCGTGTCGGCTCACAACACATGCAAGGAAGATAATTCCACAAACAGCTGCAATTGCAGGTTTTCAAACAGAGATGGCGACAAAGAGGCAAAACTTACGGACTGCAGCTTTAAGTGGAGTTGTGATGACTTGGTTTCAATGAATGTGCTACATTGCCTTGAAAGATTTTGCAGTGTAAATGTACAAATAATAGAACTGTTTGTTACTGTTGCCCCTGTACAACTCAAGATCAGTTTAACTTTTAAATCAGTTTTTTTTTTTAAACCAGCTGTGAACATGTTAATGTTTGATGACTAGAAGGTGTCCAAATACCTTTTATATTAAAGGTATTGTTTTATAAGTTAAACTTATCTCTTTTTTTTTTTTGCTCAAAAAGTGTTTGTGATATACTTTATTAAAATAAATGCCATTGATTTTCAACCAGGAGGTCCTGAAGGCACTTTAGGGGTTCCGTCGAGATATATTAAACAAATAGCACTTAACTTTTCATGATATGTTTACCTAATTAACTTATAAAAATGTCTGTCTATTAACCATTATGTATTGCTCATGTTCTTAAAGTTATTGTAATGTGTTATCTGGTGTGCCATATGTCCCGAGTCTTAAAGTTTAAAAATACACTCACATTTCTACATATGTGTCCAAATGTATCCAGTCCTTTATTTTATTTTATTTAAGTAAACTACATCTCACAGCACGCCATAAACTAAAATTAGTACCATGACAATATATCATCCATTAATAATACAGTAGAAATGATCTGTTGTGACTTGTGGTTATGGTTTTATTGATATGTAATTTTTGGGTGTATAAGGTTTCTGGGCAGAGAGGACAGGTTCATAAGGCTGCGTATCAGGGTCAGGTGTCAGTGCTGCAGAGTTTGATATCACTCCCCTCCAAGAGGCAGCTGCCCGCGGACAGAGGCAGTGTGTGAGACTCCTGCTGGACGCAGGGGCTCAGGAGCCAGTCACACACATACAGTTCTTAAAAAGGCCTATTAAAAAGTCTATTCTAAGTACTGACTTTGGCTTTGAAATGGGGTTTTCTGGGGTTGTGTTGCAGGTTGATGCAAGGAATGTGTACGGCAGCACTCTACTATGAAGCGTGCTCTGTCGGGAACTTTTGAGTGTGTGAGGCTTCTTTTGGAGTATGGAGCAAAAGTCAACCCCATCCTTTCCTCAGGTACCACCTCCCCTCTGCATGAAGCCTGCGTGGGAGGTGTGCTGGTTTGGTGTAAATTGTAGAAGTGTATTTTATTTATTTATTATTTACATTTTATTTTTTTAAATGTATAAAAAAATGTAATATTAGGTCTCATTGACTTCTTGTGTTTTTTGTAGTATTACAGAATCTGAGGTAATTTTATAAATTCATAGAATATGAATTATTTTGATGATTTTGATGGCTATTTTATTTTTAAAATGAATGAAATTTTAAATGTAATTATTAAACTATTTTCAAAAATCATTTTAGATTGTGTTTTTTACATAAATATAATGTCTGTAGTATTGCAGAATCTGTAAGGTCATTTTACAAATTCATAGATTATGAATTGTTTTGATGAGTTGGTTATGTTGGTGGTGGTCCATTTTATTTTATAAATATAATTATTATACAGTGTTCCAAAATAATTTATATCGTTTTTTTTTATTATTTTTTTTACATTTTTATGTATATTTATGTATATGATACTGTTTTTGTAGTATTACAGAATCTGTAATTCTTATAAATTCACAGAGTATTACTTTGATTATTTATGTGATTCATAGAGTATGCTTTATTTTGAATATTATTTTGTTCTGTTTGCTTTTTAAATTTTATTTTAATTAAAAAAGTATTATCAAAAGTACAAAAATAATTTTGATTGTTTTATTGACTTTTTCTCATTTCTGTAGTTTTACAGAATATATAAGATAATTTTATACATTCATAGAGAAATAATTATTTTCATGAACTAAAGGTTTTGAGTGAAATAGTTGTCTACCCTTCATATAATGTGAGAGTAATCTGTGTTATGCAGGTAATGTTATTGATTGCTAAAGAGCCAGTTTGGAGGCCTATGACCTGTACTACGGTACTCCTCTACGTGTGGCATGTGCCAGCCGACACCTGGAGTGTGTTAAAGTGCTACTGAATGCAGGTAAAACCAGATGCCATGAGCCGTGAGACAGTAAAGTTCTCTGTCAGCCATGCGAACATTGAAGAATGTGCCTCTAAAGAAGGTAGTTTAGATCTGAAATCACCAAAGTAAAGCTTTAATCGTAAATCATTGTGTGCAGGTGTGCAAGTAGACGCCACGAGGCTATACGAGACACCCTTAGATCATGCTGCCAAGTCCAACAATGTGGATATGATTGAGCTGCTGGTGGAGTTTGGGGCCAACATTTACGCCTGTGGCAAGTATGACAGGAAGCCAGTTGACTA